GATAACTACATGTATTTTAAATTTTCTTAAAGGAAAAGCAGGAATTGCGCTTCTTTTCATAAAGATCCATGAACGAGATCCAGGCAAGTTATTTCAATTTCTTATTACACGTATTATTGCAAATTAAATAATTATAATTACGACGATAAAGGATTTATCGTATGCTCTAAAACGGCGTTGACACTTGCCGATGAGTATATCAACAGTGCACTTGCAACATACACCGGCGAGAATCATAATAAATCGAGAACAAGTGGTCATATATGTGGATTCTTGTGCACAGCCGTTGGTTTATACACTGTAGCTGCTCATAGTAAATATTATTTTTTAGTTTTGTTGAATAATTTTATCAAACATATTAATAATAATTTGACAAAAAAAAAGTAAAGCATCATATAGGAGACCAAGAATCCTGTAACCTTTATCTAGACACAATCCAAAACAATCTCAGCCACGTTTGTTTTTCCAAACAAACACCTAGCGAATTACTCTACGGCCGCGCGGGGTACCTCTACGCTGAGAAATTCATATCAGAATTTATTGACCCAATGAAAGTAGAGCGATCAAAAACCATCATATACGGCGTATATGACGCGATAATCGACGACGGAGTGCGCACCGCCAATCGTATGAACATCACCGCACAGACACCCATGTTTTGGGTGTGGCATGATTCAGCATATATTGGAGCAGCGCATGGCGCGGCTGGTATTCTTACGATTCTATTGCAGTTTCCGGAAAAAGTTAAAGAAACATATGAACAAATACGAGATGCGGTTGATTTTGTGCTATTTAAGTGTCAGACGGGGGCTGGGAATTGGCCGCCTTCCTTGGATAGCAGGAAGAATTTGGTGCAGTGGTGTCATGGAGCGCCTGGAGTTTTGTTGTTGGCTTGTAAAGCATACGAAATATATAACGATCAAAAGTAAATTATTATCCTTGAGTTTTCATTTATTAAATATTCATAATATTCAAATATTTTTAATTAGATATTTAGATCTCGCAAAGAAAACCGCAGAATTTATCCATTCCAATGGTGTAATCCATAAAGGCGTCGGATTGTGTCACGGTGTCTCTGGAAACGCTTACCCGTTTCTTGCAGTCTATCAACTCACTCAGGAAGAAAAATATCTAGAATGGGCAATTGAGTTTGGTGTGATTTGTTCGGAATGGGAGGAAAAAACAACGCGGGGAGAGTTCCGAAAACCTGATCGACCAATGTACGTATTAATTCAAAATTTCAGATCGTGTGATTCAAAACTGTCTCCGACCCGACGCACTCGAAATATTGCCTAATTAAATTACCTTTTGTGTTCTGACAAAAAAATGGTTGCGAAATTTTACAACACACATCCTAATTTCAATTGATACGTCAAAAGAATAAAGAGATTAGGGATGGCTTGGACAGTTCTGAATCACATGACCCGACACTTTCTGCCGTAACTAGGGTACTATTGTAATTTGTGCTGAATTGTAAAAACCTTTTTTTTTTATTAGGTCACTTTATGAAGGCCTCGCGGGTGCTATTTGGTGTGTAAATTTTTCTAATTTTTGATACATCTATTTTATTATAATATCTTTCATTTATTAAAAATTATAAACGAATAAGGTTCCTCTGCGACTTGTATTTCTGGGACGTCGAAGTATTCAAGGGATTCCCCGGATTGACTGATATATAAAATAAAGGGCTTTGTTACTTAGTCTTCGCTTTCTCTAGGTTTCTTATATTGAGAGCTAACGATGGATGATTTGTATTTACAGTACATTTATCTTTTCAATGAAATAAAGATTTTCATATTAAGCATCCAAGATAAACTTCACGCGACTTGACAGTAATTAAATCCGTAAAAATATTCTTAAAAAAGAATCTAATCAATAAGAAATGACAGAACCAGATACGGAAAACTCAAACAAGTGTTAAAAAGATTATGACATTTTTCAAGGAAAATTTAATAAGAAATTGATTATGTTGGAGTCATATTCGTGGATTAAAATATCTTTATGAAAAGATAGTTGTGCATCAAATAGACTAAATTGTTATGTATTTTGTGTAATGACAAAACAAGTATCGATATACAACATGATGTATATGTGCATATACATGTATATTGTTCTTTTCTTTTTTTTGTTGTATTTCTTGACGATTGATTTTTTTACATTATAATAATTGAAAATATGACTAATACTAATATTATATACCTTAACGTTGGAGGACAAATGGTATGTAAAAATAAATAACAGAGTGACGTGGTGATCGCATTGCTTTATTTTTTTTTTACTAATACAAGTTGATTCAGTTCGAGATCCCATATGAGAGATTTTTCGCGTACCCCGAAAGTCTCCTTGCACAACATATGGGTGACTTGGTAAAGTTAAAACTCGAGGAAGCCAAAGTTTCGAAAAAGAAGTTAAATTTTTTTATTGATCGGGATCCTACGCTCTTTTCGCACATCCATCATTATTATTTGACGGGTGAATGCTATTTTCACGAGAATGCGGATCCTGTGAATGGACATCAAATCACTTATGATGAATTGGTCTTGGAATTCAAGTATTACCAATTTCCTGTGGACGCTATCTCATTACCAAAACGATTACAAGTCTCTCAGGAACTCAGCACCAAAGAATCAGAAGCAAAGAATGTTCTCACCCAAAATAAAATCGCACAACTTCGCGGTGCACACATCAACTACTTTGTCGAAACTCTTCAAAAAATAATCCTCGAATTGATCCTTGTCAAATGCTCTCGATTCTCCATGCTTTTTACACACCGTCAGAATCCGCCCATTATCCACTTCTTCAAACTTGCGGATACGGCCGTCGTCGAAGAAAAAATAAACGCGATGTTAGATCCGTTTGGTTCGTCGGGTGCTACAATATTGCAGATTTATAGGGCGTTTATTCAAGAGTATATGAAAAAAAATATTCCAATTTTGAGTGAGTGGAATACGAATAATGGGTTTGATCCGGAGATTGGTCAGTATTACGAGATTGATTTGCGGATAATCATTACAAATATTAACACTGATAATGTTTTTTTTGAGACTTCTTTGGAGAATCGAGCAATAATTTAGTGTTATTGGAATGTTATGAGATTATTCACGTATGATCGATGATTGGAGGGGAAATAGAAGTTTCCAAGTAGATGCAGAATTACATTTTATTAACTCTGATTATGATCTAGATTTTCCATCAAATTTCATTATCGTATCGTTATTATTCCAAAATAATAAGATACTATGAGCCAAAAGAAAAAATGACAATTGCCTTCCAACTAAAACGAGATATAAAAAATCAAACGTGATTTTCGGACAATTAAAATATTCTTTTTCAATTAGAGCATAACTGCCTTTTCGTGCATTGAAACAAACTCGAATTTTTAGATGAAGTCAATTTCTATAATATTGTTAAATTTTCTTAATAAAACTATAACCAATGAATAGATGTATTATAAAAATCGTTATCAAAATATTATTTTTACACAATAAATGGGTAATAACTTTAATTGTGACATCAGATCAAAAACTCTTATTTATAAATACGCTTTGGCGAAAAACTTATGATTTCAATATGAATACTAAAGAAAAAACACAAATTTCGTGTTTAAATAAATATTACGTTAAAGTAAAAAATTATTCAAAAATTATGAATGAACTCTGCTGATTTTAAATACCATTCGAATGCTTTTTTTTCATCTTTGATTGTTCCTTCGCCATCTGTATAACAAAGAGCAAGTGCAAATTGTGCTTGAGGATTTTCAGACTCTGCTGATTTTAAATACCATTCGAATGCTTTTTTCTCATTTTTGATTGTTCCCTTTCCATTTTCATAATAAAGAGCAAGATTATACTGTGCCTGAGGATCTCCAGACTCTGCTGATCTTAAATACCATTCGAATGCTTTTTTCTCATCTTTGATTGTTCCTTCTCCATTTACATAATAGAGAGCAGGCATGAATTTCAATCTATTGCGAACCTCTTGGATTAAAGGCCGATTTTTTGGCTCAAACTGCCAACAATCTTTATATAACTCCACGTATTCAAGAGGCGTATTGTCAATTGGCTCTTCACGTAGTCCATTTATAATTTCATTAAAAAGGGCTAGCCAATTAAGATCTCTGAAAGGGATACAACAGCTTGATATTTCCCACAATAAAACCCCTAAACTGTAAATATCTGATCTTTTATCTTTCCTATATTCGAGTTCTATAAACATTTTAGGCTCAATATACGGTATGGCGCCTTGAATTGTTGGTATGCTGGAAGATTTGCTATTAATGTCCTTTGAACAACCGAAATCCGAGATTTTTATTCGATTATCATGCAATAAAATATTTTTGGAATGCTTTATCGTTATTACATAAAAATAGAAAAATGAGTTTATTGTATAAAATTTATTTAGACATAAACAAACATTACCAAATCTCGATGAATTATATCAAGCGAATGAATATAATGAACACCATCAGCAATTTGATATGCCAGTGATATCTTTTTAGCCCAATCTAAAGTATCGCGTTTCTCTTCCAAAAATTCACGTAAAGTCCCGTTGTTTGCGAATTGCATCACCAGAAAGTAGGAGTCTTCGGCTTGAAACATAAAATTAAATTTAACAATATTCATCCCAAAAAATTTATTAATAATAAAATTAT